ACATTGTTAATTCAAATTTTACAGTTGACACAGATTTGCCATTATATATTTTTTCTTTAGGCAGTGTATTAAACCAGAGTTCCACAAGGAAAGTCTTTTCCCCCAGTTTTTCAAATCATCATCTAGAATGATATTATTGTTTTCTAAAAGACTTCTCAGGCAAGCATGAACCATTTTAGAAGATCATGGGTCATCCTAAATATGGAATTGTTAAGAAAGCCTAAGTGGCCTGTTCTTTTCAGATAAAACTACACTAAATCTTTATATTCATATTCTATCAATCTAACATGTTTTGCCTTAGAACTTAGACAAATTTGAATTATGCATTTTTGAAGTAAGTTCAGAGCTATAGCAAATGAAAAAAAGATTTAATATTAAAAAAAAAAAGTTTAAAATAATCAACATGGGAAAATCAGGCTCTGGATTCCTTTGCACTCACTTTGCATTTGCTTGTTGCAATTTTGAATTTCCAGGCTGTGGTAAAGACTCGCCTTTCCAGTGAAGAACTTCAAAGGCCTTAGTCATATCTGCCTACTGTTATTTCCTGCTCAATGGCTAAATAATGATAGCCCAAAAGAACTAGGCAAAGAACACCCACCCAGGTAGAACTGTCAGTAAACAATGTGTGTCTAGCACTTTTTGAGATGCTGTGGTGGTTTGAATAAGAACGGCCCCCATAGGCTCATATAGTTGTGGCCTTGTCAGAGTAGGTGTACTCTTGTTGGAGGGCATGTATCATGGGGGTAGGCTTTAAAGTTTCAAAAGCCCATACCAGGCCAGTCTCTCTCTCTCTCTCTCTCTCTCTCTCTCTCTCTCTCTCTCTCTCTCTCTGCCTGTGGATCAGGACATAAATCTCTCAACTATTTCTCCATTTCTCCAGTGCCATGTGTATGACCATGATCCCAGTCATAATGGTAATGGTCTAAACCTCTGAAAGTGTAAACCAACCTCCAGTCAAATACTTTCTTTTATAAGAATTGCCTTGGTCATGGTGTCTCTCTACAGCAATAGAACAGTTACTAAGACAGATGCCAACCAACCAACACAGCAGAGCCATTTACAGGGATTGATGTGCACTGTCATTATTCCCCATTTAGGCCACACTAAGCTAGCACATGTTTAAAAGGCTGCCTGAATTTGCTTGGGAGGCATCCAGACAGTGGGACCAGGTCCTGTCCTCAATGCATGAACTGGCTGTTTGGAACCTGGGGCTTATGCAGAGATACTTCACTCAGCATGGGAGAAGGGGACTGGATCTGCTTAGACTGAATCTACCAGGTTGAACTCAATCCTCAGGGGAGTCTTTGCCCTGGAGGAGATGGGAATGGGGGAGGGAGCTGGGGGAAGGGGGGCGGGAAAGCTGGAGGGGGGAGAACAAGGGAATCCATGGCTGATATGTAAAATTAAATTTAATTAATAAATAAAAAAAGGCTGTCTGAAGCAAAAACTCACTGAAGGCACCTATTCATCTTCAGGACTTTCCATCAACTGACAGCTTATTTTCCTATTTGCTCTGCTTTATTCTTTCTGTGGTCACCTTTGCCATTGTTTATTGTTCTTTTCTCAATCCCCTTCTTTGGCAGTCCTTGTTAGATTATAGCACTCATTCAGGTTAACTTTCAGCTTTCTACCTTCAAATCCTCCAAAATTTTCTTTGCTGCACTTTTATTAATTTTATTGTTTGATCACTTAATATGAGAATATAATGTGTTCTGATTATTCTCTGCTCAAGTCCCTCTATCTCCCTTTTATCTAGGACAACTCTCCCTTACCCCTACCTATCTCTTTCCAAGGCTCATGACTTTGGCTTTGCTTAGTGATCCATTTGGTTTAGGCAGGTACAACTGTGTGATTATTTATTTGGAAGTGTCCATTACACTTTGGTCATCAGTAGGCACACAACTCAAGACACTTTGTCACTCCCTGAATCCATCAGTAGCTAATAGTTTATCAGTAAGGGTAGGGCTCTACTTTCTATCCTTGCCTGTGTTGATGTATCTGTTCTTGGCAAAGAGAGTGCAGCAGACATCTGTAGCTACTATGAGTTCATGATTGTAATGGCTACATCTATCCCAGGAGATGACATTTCATGGCCCTTCTTCCTATCTTCGTACCAGCTCTTATATTTTTCCTCAATGTAACTCTTCTAGTCTTAATCAGAAACAGTAGAACACAATGGGAAAGCATGGATCTCTCTTTTTCCACAATAGGGAGGCTCACTGAATTGGTTTCATCTTCTCTATTCTCAACCCATTGTTCCCTTTTTAAATCCAAGATGGTGCCAGCCTGTGGAGCTGTGAGTTAAGAAGGGCAGGAAGTAAACATCATACCATCTGAAAGTTCTGCTATGGAGAGAAGGAGGCTCCTTGCCTATTTCTGCCTACTGATTCTATCTCAGTTACAAGACTCTGTGTGGCTGTTTATATACCCTCATCTTTCTTGGCTGTCTTGCTGTCCTTGGTCAAACAATAAGGTGAAGTTACACATAACACTATCTTCCTTCTACAGGAATAGATTATCCTTATACTTGGCAAGAGGCAACAAGTATGTAAGTCAATGTTTATAGCTAGATGTGTTTGGATTAATTATAAAAATGTATTCTAAATCCTGATGAATTCATTATACTACAGATAATTGCTTGAGTGTTTTCATGGGGATTTACTAAAAGAAAATTTAAGACTTCAGGAATTTTTTTGTGTTTGGTTTGTGGGTTGGATAGATTTTCTTTTCCTGATCTAGGACATACTTCGGTGAAGTATTAAGAGCAAATTATTCATACTTTCTCATGTTATACTTGCATAGAATCTGGAAGATTCTTAATTCATTTGCCTTCACTTGCCAATTATCTTATTTTATCTATAAAATATGGTTGGGGAGTTAAGAAGCACAGCCCTGGTAGAAATCAGAATGTTAGCAAGTGTGACAATTAGTAACCAGATATGGAGAAGACAAAGAGGAGAAGATATATCTCAGACATTAACCATTCCTCTCTTAGTTGGACCAGGGTCACTGCATAGGGTGTGGCTACCCTGGGCCTATGCCATTCTAGTCCTGTCTGAAAGGGGTTACAAAGAAGAAGCTGATATCAGAATGTTGACAAGTGTAGTAATTAGTAACTAAAGATTGAGAAGATGAAGAGGATGGCATTTACAATATATACTGTACATACTAAAAGTTCCATGTCAACCTTTGGGTATACCCTTTCCTATACTCTTTTAATTCTATCTGGAAGATGTTTCAAAGAAGCTGTTATCAGTACTTTTATTGTGATATCAGTTGATACTAATGTTAATTTACTTAGTATTACTGCTATTCCACCTCTAAGACAAATTGATAAACTGTCTTATAAATGAAATAACCAGAGCCTTAGATCAGGGAGACAGTGAGAGCCACCAGCCAACCTACCTCACCAACTCTGCAGCTTCCAAAATGCCACGACTTCCTGTCTACTCAGGCTTTTATTACCTTGCTGTTCTGCCCTCTCATTGGCTATCTTAGCCCAGCTACCTCACTTCCTTGTCACTGCCTGTCTGAACAGACCTCCAGGTCTCTATGGTTGGTACTGGAATTAAAGGCATGTGTCACCACACTTGGCTCTGTTCCCTAGTATGACCTTGAACACACAGAGACCATGTCTGCTAAGTGATTGGATTAAGGGCATGTGCTACCACTGCCTGACTTACATGTTTACTTAAAATGGTTTGCTATTTCCTCTAATCTCCAGGCAGACTTCATTAAAGCACAAATAAAATATCACCACATTTCAGCACAAATAAAATATCACCACATCCACTCTCCTATATTATTTTTAAATCAGCATTTAATGGGTTTTACACATTAAAAAAAATAAATAAAAACACACATGCAGTAAAGCCCCTAAAGTAAATATAGAACAATATGATGCAGCCTTCACCTACACAAACACATTCTTCTGCCTGTCTATCATTACCTTGGGCACTGAATTGTTTTGAGATTGGACACATATGTATAATACCACCCACAATATCATTTGCTAGATTTCTGAAAATACATTATGCAATGAGCAAAAAAAAACATTTCTACAAATATAATGCTAACCAGAAATGAAACAGATCAAAGAAGGTATGCCAAAATAAGTCAAAGGAAAATTTTCCCCTCTATGCTTTGCCAAACATACTCTCCTTGGAACAATTATATAATGTTACAGTATATAAGACATAAGCAAAGAGATCCTGAGTTCTGTGATTTGATCTTGCTAATTAATCAAGCAGAGGGAGACAGTCACTAGAACCCTGGTGTGCAGCATGATAAACATGTATTCAAAGCTGGTTAGTCAAATGCACAGAAAGATAACCTATAGTTTGTGGGTGGCATCTGAGGCAAGAGGCTATCTCATTGGGATTGAGTGTCAACTTTGAGATCTGAAGCATTCTTTAAATAAACAGCTGTGGAACTGATTGATATACTGAACACCCTGCTGGTATCTGCTGGACAATTAGCAATAGAGTTATTCAGTTGATATATTTGCACATAGTTTGGTGAACTAGAAATCAAAGAGTGTTCTGGGAGAATTGCCACTGATGGAGCAAAAGCACCTTGGTTTGTTTTTCTCTGTGGCCCAAATTTAACAAACTTGCAGAGCTGGTTTGCTCAGAAATAAGAAGTTACTTGTTTTGTTTTGCTTTGCTTTGCTTGGAGACAGGGTCACACTGTGTAGCTCCAGTTGGCCTGGATGGAACTTGCTACTTAGACCAGGCTAGAAGTCATGGGGATCTGCCTGCCTCTGCCTTTGCCTCTCAAGTGCTAAGAACAAAGGGAAAAGTCACCATGCCAGACTAGAAACATTTTAAATTAGAAACATCTTATAGTAGTTAAAATTGAAACATTGATAATATGCCCAAACTATTCACTCGCTTTAGAAGCATTAAGGATCAAAATGCTTTTGCTAAGTCACATAAATGATACAAAGGCATCTCAGACTGAAAGTTAGAGCTCCTCGAATATAGAAAGATAGGACTTACCCCTGTCTGTATCATACAGGAAGACAAAACAGTTCCATTCATAGTGGTCCAGCAGGCTCAGGAGTGCACCTCTCAATGAAGGCCTTAGCTGTAGCACGAACTGGCTCTCCCCTTCAGTGGGGAAGCTGGGCGTGATGAGGGAGATGTGTAGGGCACTGCAGAATGAGGTCAAGGTGTGCACTGACCTCTTGTCATAGAGTCCAAAAATGGCAAACACTCCTCTAGAATACTGGGAACAGACTGGGGAAAAAACAAACAGAGAAGGCCATCACTAATTGTTATACTCCAAAACCGGCCACTTGAAGCCTGTGAAGGTTTAAAAGAAAATCACTGAAATGTTAGCAATTTATGATATGGAATTGTGTGTGTGTGTGTGTGTGTGTGTGTGTGTGTGTACCCAAAACAGCTTGACCATACAGCTGCCATGACAGGCTTAAAAGCCCACACACAGCTTCTGGCAGACAACACCTGGACCCAGGAAAAGCCATAAGCTGACCCCACCCAGTGGGGCCTGCATCTAAGAAGAAATACCTGACATTGCAAACATTCCCTACACTCCAAAGAAATGTCAGCCAATCAGGGTCCTGAACCCTGGAAATCCCCTCACTCCAACCTCTGCTATGATAAAAACCCCATCCTGCCTGGGCTCTGGGCTCTCTCCTCTCACTGCTGTGTAGGACAGGGAGCCCAAGCTCTGAGCTTGAAAATAAGGGCTCTTTGCTTTTACATTTGGGATTCAGTCTCTGTGGTGGTCTTTTTGGGGTCCTCATGATCTGGGCATAACATTTAGGGGATTATCCAGGGTCCCCCAAGCCCACTGGGACCACTACCTGCAGAGCCTGAAGCCAGCCTATAAGTGTCTGTCTGTCTGTCCTGTCTGTTCAGTTTCATTTCTGTGGCTAGCTTAAATCAGTGATTGTGATCAGGACCGGTTAAGAGACAGACTGTGATCACAAGGGGCTGAAAGACATTTCAGGCCACATTAGTGGGGGTGGAGAACCCCACATCTGTTTATCTGTAGTAGGGGTGCGGAATCCCAAAACTGTGTGTGGTCAGTTGACACTGTTTCCCTGGGAAAATTGTTTGCCTTTCTGTTGGAATGTCCTGCCTATATAAATGTGTGAATGTGTGAGAAATGTGGCCACATGTATGCATGTTTTATGCCTGGGCTTGTGTGTCTGGTTATGACTCCTACTCCTGTGGACAGCCTTTGGGGCCAGATGGGCAGCAGAAAGGACAGAGGGTCCCTTTGGTTTGTGGTGGTATTGTGTTCCCCAAAATATTGTGCACCCCAATAAACTTATCTGGGGTCAGAAAACAGAACAGCCACTAGATACAGAGGCTAGAAAATGGTGGCACTCAGACCTTTAACCCTAGCCTTCTGGAGGCATGGATCTCTGTGAGTTCAAGGCCACACTGGAAATAGCCAGGCATGGTGACTCACGCCTTTAATCCCAGGAAATAATGACAGAAAGCAGAAAGGTATATAAGGCATGAAAACCAGAAACTAAGCTGGTTAAGCTTTTAAGCTTTTGAGCAACAGTTCAGCTGAGATTCATTCTGGGTGAGGACTCAGAGGCTTCCAGTCTGAGGAGACAGGATCAGCTGAGGAATTGTCGAGGTGAGACAGCTGTGGCTTGTTCTGTCTCTCTGATCTTCCAGCATTCACCCCAATCCCTGGCCTCAAGTTTGACTCGTGCTATACTGGTTGAACTGGGATGGACTAAGAGTGTGTCCCCATTGCGTCCTTGCTCTCTGACTGGAGAACAGGCAGCAGGCAGAGGAACACATTGTTGTGGTGCAGTGCGTCAGGTGGGCAGTAGCTGCAGTGGCAGGACCAGGCCCCCCTCACGCTCAGGGATCTGTGGGGTAGAGACTTTGTAGCATAGTGGCACAGGTGGTCAGGGGGGCCCAGAGGCTGCCATAGGGACATGGCCATGAGCACCACTGGACCCTGACATGGTTGGCAGGTTCTGGGCTGGGCTCCCACGCAGGGAGCTACAAGGTGGAGCAGCATGGAGCAGGTGGGACTTTGGCTAGCTTGGAGCACGTAGCTGGGTCATGGAGTCTCTTCTAGTCGGCTGCTCTGTCGCCATGCTGCACTCCATCTCCCATGCTGGGGGGTGGGGCTCCCAAGACCTGCCCTGGGGCTAAACCTGACCAAGGTTTAGCTCCAAGGGCAGAATGGAATGTCACTGCCTATGGTTGCCAAGCTATGGCGGCTATGTTATAATGCTACAGCCAGGGCTGCCTTGATCACTAAGATCCAATATTTTCTTCATGTCGGTACAGTGCTGATGCAAATTTAGAGTTATTCTTGTTATATATATGCATGTATTTCTGTTCTTGTTTAAAATTTTGTAGTTTTACAATATATTCTAGACTATTGAGGGGAATGACAAGAAAGACTTTGGTAAGAGTTTCTGTGTTTGAAGAAAATAAAAAAAGGAAAAGAAAAGCAGAATCTGTCTGAAGTAAATGTCTGAGGGATCAAAGGAATGGACTAAAAGGACATAGAAGGTGGTAGAAGGTCAGAGGGGATGTGAACTATGTTTGTCGTGGTTTCTTATACCTGCAAATACTGAATTTAAAAGTTAATTTTGGTTGGTTTTCATTTTAAAAATAGCTGATGGTTCTTCATTGTAAACTGTTTATGTTAAAAATGGAGATATATGTGTGTGTGTGTATGTGGACATATATGTGAGTTGGATTTAACCGTATGTGTAAATGTAAGCAAGCTTTAATTGTATGTATGTGTATGTAAATTGGATCCAACCATGTGTATGTGTGCAAGTAATTATTGTTTAGAAAAATCATGCTTTCAACAGCAACCATGTGGCTTTCCTCCATCTTTGCTGGTGACCTCTTAGGCAGCCACATGGCTAGCAACTATCTTTTACTAAAGGTTATAAAGCTCTATTCAGGTTAACAAAAAGCTAATTTAGAGACTTACACCTAAATACTTATGTCTTTGCCAAGTATTCAACAGCAAGCTTCTACAGAATTTAAAGAGATGGCTGCATGTGTTTAATAGATAAGGTTAAATATAAAATTTGCACCTCAGTGCTTTTATACACAAAAAAGTACCTTGCTCTGGCAGCTAACCTTTGTAACTTAAGAGTCACCCAGATGATAGTCACCAGAAGCATCCAGCTACAATGAAATGGAGCAGACTGAGATCTAGAAGGCAGGCTATATATATGCTGCCAAGGGTAGGGCCAAAGAAATTATCCAAGTCTCTAAGTAAAAGAACTAAAAGTATTGTGGATGAATTTCAGATGTTGAACTTTGGGATTGTTTGCACTCTGGAGTTTGGTTTTACTTTATACAGACCGTGGTGATGCCATATTTCTCCCTCTAAAAATAAAAAAAAGGTGTTTTATTGTTGATAGTGCAAAAAGACATTTGAGAGATCTTAACCTTTTTAAGAACAGTTTTTAAAGTATTTAAATTTATAGGTCTATGGGACATTTTAAGTTTATAAAATGCTCTATATTGTTAATATTTGGACTTAAAATAAAAGGTTAAAAATTAGGGTCACAGCCATAAGCACCAAATACTAATCAGAAACTGGGAAATTCATTTCTTATGATGCAGCAAGACAACGAACTAGGCAAAGGGCTTGGGACAGCTTCTGACTCCATGAATCTCGACCCTTTGGGGTTGAAAAACCTTTTTATAGGGTTAACCTATGACCACCTATATGTCAGATGTTTGTATTGAGATTCATAACGATGGCAAAACTGTAGTTGGGAAATAGCATTGAGAAAGTTAAGAACCAGTGAGGCTTAAGGATATATGCCTAGCCTCCTTGTCTTTGCTAAATTCGTTAAGCTTAAGTTATAAACTGAGTCATATAAATATTTTATATTGATATTTTGTTTTGGTTTCTTTACTGAACCTGTATTTGATACCAGAAGAGCTTCAATTTAAAATCATTGTTTTTAAGGCTAACTATTGTAAGCTATTAGAGAATATAAGTAAATAGTCATTTTATAAACAATCAAGTTCTTTAATTGTAGTCATGTTAAGTACTGATGTAAGTAATTACAGGGATAATTGTATGTTTTCATATACTCAGTCCTTTGTATATGTTTTCAGGGTTGAGTTTAAAACAAATAATTAGAAACAAAGTTTGTCTATTCAGATATACCTGGACAACCTTCACACTTCAGAGGTCTGTAGAATATGGCTTTTAAAATGGTAACCTAAAAGTTATTATATCAGACTCCCAGATCCTAGCAGTAACCCAAGGTCTGCAGAGAAGATTATGTATGGGGCACCACAATGTCTCTGCCTGGTTTATAGCAATGCTGACAACAGGGAAAGATACCCCAGTGCAACAGTTGCTGCCAGGACCTGGCTCAGACTGTGGACATGCAGCAGGACACTGGGGAATTTTGCCTAGAGAAAGTAAAGTCAGTTTTCCTGTGTTCCTCTTCCACAGGAAAAACTCTGCCTTATGGGTCTGATTGCCAAAGAAGATGCTGCTGCTCTGATACTTGTGCCTCCAATGCTATGAAGACCTGGATATGGATGGGTCCCTGTTATTTATAGGATTGGAAGTTGCTTGGTCTGCACTCAGATATAATATATCCTTCTCAGATCTCTGATAGTACTGACAGGTAGGCTAGCTACAACTTGGTCAGCTTGGCAGCCTCAGACAACCAGATGCATCCATAAGCTATAGCTAGCTTGTTAGCTCATTTTAAAGAAAATGTTCTAAGATATAAAAGTTTAAATAAGTCATAAATGTTTAAATATGGGTATAAGAAAGGTCTGAGGATATGAAAGCTTATAAGCTTTGAGGCTCTCAGAAAATTATTTAAGATATAAATGCAAGTTGTAAAGAGATAAATAAATGATTTAGAGTATGAGAAATGTTTCAGATTGCTCTTCCCTTCTATGATATAACAGTTCAGAGCTTAACATTTAATAGAGTTCTGATTAAGATGGTAGAGCAATGACTACTTACTGTTCAGTCACAAGCTCAATAATTTAGATTTATTTTAGTTTTCATCTAAATATACCTAAATATAAACCCAGAAGTGCTTCACATCAGGCCAAAAATCTCTGTCTAATTTCTATCTGGCTCTCTGGACAGAAGGAAATGTACATGCTTTTAACCCAAATCTGTAGTTCTTATTGGAACTCAAAGGTATGAGTCTATTTCTGCTGTTTTGCAGATACCCATTACCTGCTTTGTCTATGATATGGATTTCAGTACAGCTTGGAAACAC